AAGGCCTACCTCGCCGGATTTGCCATGGCGCCGCGCGGATCTGCCCTAACAGCCATGCCGGAACCCTAAGGAGCTCGCTGGAACCCTAAGCTCGTTGGAGAGAGGAAGGAGCAGCGTCGGGAGGAGGTGGGGGCGGGCACGGGCACGGGAGGAGATCACCGCCCGTGTGGGGGGGTGGACCTCGCCGGGCGTTGGAGAGACGTGAGAGAGAGACGCCGGGGAGACAGAGAGAGAGTGTGCGTGTGTGTGAGAGTGAGCGGGTGAGTGGGTGAGGGTGGCCATGCGGGCGTCTAAAAAACGGCTGTCCGTTTTCAAGGCATTACCAAAAGAAAAATGCATGCAACAGAGAAGTAGACAATACAGTCGCAATTAACTGCACGGTCTTTAAAAACAAAACTGCACGATAGGGTCGAGAAGAACTGCATACAGTACAGGGTTGCGATCCATCTTAACGCTGGCAACAAAACATTACCACTTGATGGAGCCAACCTTTTTATTGCATGCAAAACGGACGGAGTTGGGATATACAGTACAGAGAATAATAATCTCGATGACAGGAAAAAAGGAATGTTCAAACTCTAACGGACAAAGTTCAACCGAGGCCTTTCTTATAGAGTGCTAGCAAAGAAACTAATTAATGGCAACTAAATAAATTAAGCACAGACTGATCATCCATCTGACATCATGGGTACATCAAATGGCTTTCTTGACCGACACGAGTGTCCCTATGATACCGAAAAGTGCAACAAAGACGCCGAAAACCGCCGCGATGGTTTTCTTGTTATTGTAAAGAAACGCGTACAACTTGGTCCCCATCGGCTTGTTCTCCTTGTAAATCTCGATCTGTTCCATGACACGGTTGTAGCATTTTCCGAAAGGCAGACCCTGGAAACTGGTCAAGAAGCGGAACGCCTGCTCGTCGGTGAGCCCTCCTCCTCCCTGCAGGAGACCGCTCGCCCGTAGCTCCTGCACGTCGTCCACCCTAGTTACCAACAATGCCAGGAGCTGGAGGTAGGAGCAGACAGCAGAGTCTTCGGCTTGCGCTCTCCCAAACCTTTTTATCGTGCACAGCTCGAGAGCCGCCATGTTGAGGAGGTAGCTTGCACGGTTACGGTCCAGAGACAGTGGCGCCAGGGAGAGCTCGGCGAAGAAGCTCCCTTCCTGGACGAGGCCCATGTCAATGAGCTTCATCGTCTTGTTGGCTGTGAGCCAGATGCCGATCTCCGCCAGCTCAATGGCACTGACGGAAATTGACCGCTTCTTGGGCTTCTGCTTGTTGGGACTGTTAGTGTCCCTGCTTCTCCCTACAGTGTAGTATCGGAGGAGGCCAAGGAGGTGCGGTTTGAATGTCTTGTCTTTAATCAAAGCTGAGACATGAGAATCCTCTTCTTCTTTGGGTTTCCTATGGTGCTGCACATAGACTTTCCATCTGGAGATGAAGCGCCCCAAGCGCACGTCGGGCATGAACCTCAGGACCGCTTCCACCACTTTCCAGGGAAGCTGGTTCTCGAGAAGAATGAGATCATGGTGGATGTTGCGGCGGTTAGGGCCGAAGAAACCGTGCAAGCTCTCATCTACTGCAATGTCAGTGCTCAAACGCATATACTGCACCAAGAAGCAAGCGTCAAAGAACATCATGTGTCGGAATTCGTCATAGCCGATACCTTTCATCACATCCTTGTCGTAGAGGCCGAGGCGGCGGACGAGGTCTGCAGAGGAGACAACCGCGGAGTACACCTCCTCCAATAAGTGTCCAGATTCGATGACGCATCGAATGGCAGCCATGTGCTTCACATTCTCCGCCTGCTTGAGGTGGTCTCGGTTGTGGTGGTACGGGCCGATGGCCACAACCCTCGGCACGGTGTAAGATTCATGGAGAGCTCCAAGCAGGCTTGCAGGGTATTTGTGCATCTTTTGTTTGATGATGTCCATATCAGCCTCAAACTCGTGCGATACTTGGTTGAACACACCACAAACACGACTGTCGGCGGAGACCTTCTTAGTATGAGTTTCTTCATTCTGTAAATCAACAACCACCTGCGAATTCTGCACATCAATCGTCGGCACCTCTGCAACGGGCCAGTTAGGCTGTGGGGGTGCAGCATAGTAGTACTCAACCAGTTGCTGCCCTAAGCAAGATTGAGGCACATATGCTGGTAGGCTGCAGGTACCAAACATGTCGATATGGTCCATGGACACAGGGAGGCCAGCAGCAGGAGACCAAGCTTCAGCAGTTGCTGGTTCTTGAACGGCCCAGCCGTTCGGCAGTTGAAACTCGCAAGGTCGTCCTCCCCACGCTGCATCCTGGTTGTCCATGATCCAATAATTGGCCTTCCAAAAGTAACTGCTGCGAGTAGTGTAAACGAGGACACGAAATGAATACAGTGAAGAAAAAGCTACTACAAATTAACAGGTCAGACAGCGACTAGTTTCTAGTTTCTATACACACACACACATATATGATGGTAGAAATTAATTAAGCACAAATTAAAGCATGCCTAGTGTGAGACTGAAGGGAGAAGAGAATGGAAGACTCTTACATCCGTGCCGAAGAAGCATTACGTACCTTATGGACGCATGTTCTCCTATATATAGAGAACATATACATACCTATCAACTGCTGATGTCCACGACGGTTTTGTATTTACTCTAAGAAAAAGTGGCCACGTTCGTATACACGTGTTAGGCATACTTACCCCACGTTCACAGTTAGATCTACCAGAAAATAGTCTGATCTGTCCGTATATAGTCGGACCACCGCATTCCCCTTCTCCAACCAGCCCGATCTGCATCCTCGAACATGAGATGCCGCTGGCGCACTTTGTCGTGATCTTTCACCGCATAGTTTGACCATCCTCTTAGGTGGTCTCACACCGCTGGCACTCTATACATGACTGTATCGGTATTTTTTTTCTTCGTTTAATTTGCAAGACACTATACTCTTTGTGCCTTAATTAGCTCTAATATGCATCGATTGATGTGGCACTTATTCGAGTTAATATTCTTGATATCATGAATCCAGATTTTGACTTCTAGATTTTTGTACAATTCATTCACTAGCGGCACAGTGCGGTGTTGTCTGGTTCCTAACTCTTGATTTTTTTATATTCGAGTTCCTGAACTTGTACTGTGGTGTCCCTTGGACGCCTAACTCCCAACTTGTACTGCCACAGTGAACTTGATTTTCAATTGAAGGTGTTTTCAATTTACAACCGTCTCTAATGTGGCTTTCAAACTGAGCCGCCTCTAGAAATACAATAGTAGAGGTGGCTATTGTTACCGGCCGCCTCTACAAATGCCCCCTAGTTTTAGTGGTGGCTCTACTTTCAACCGCCTCTATAAAAAAAGCTCTAGAAATCAATTCCAACCGCCTCTAAAATAGGAGCTGCAAAGTAAAATTTGAATTTTTCAAACGATATCGTATAGAGAAACGACAAAAATAAAAGTTGTACATCTCAAAAAGTTATGCAACTTTGTAGTTGAAAACTTTTTCATTGGAAATCATCTATGCATGAAAAATTACATTTGAATTCAAAATTTTCAAATTACCTCGATGGAGAAATGACTAGATGTAGATCTCAAAAAGTTTATAAAACTTTGTAGTTGACAATATTTTCATTTGAATTCATTTAGTATTCGAAGCATGCGTTTTTACGTAAAAAATCATGTGACTTGTGACACTATGCATCGTGTGGCTGCCCAGTGAAGTCTCCTAAGATTATTTTTTTTTTTGCTATTTTTTGGGGTTTTTCCATCTTATAATCTTCTTAGATTGTTATCTGGCCAGTGTGTTTTGCCAGTGTTGTGTATCAGTCAGTTGGCCAATGGTACATGTAAGATCTAGATCACTGCTGTATTGCATGACAATTTGTTGTCTTTATTTCCAGCCTTCTCCATCCACCACTTACAAGACAACAACTCGTTACAAAATCTAGTGAGTGGGTACAACATAATATAGTAATGCAGTTGGTAGTAGGTCTACATCTTATATAGGTATGTATAGCACCAACCATATGGGTAATCAAGCGTCTACGCATTGAAATGAAAGTGCATCTATAAACGATGTTATATATACCTATTTGGGCAGGTACGGTTGTGCGCCATCTCAATAATACAAATCTGATTCAGTACTACTCATGCAATTTTAGAATAATGATGATATGTTAAAGTATGTCAAGTTTAAACATGTTTATATAAGAAATACTAATATTGATTATGCTCAATAGGTATCACTAGATTTGTCAAGAAACATATTTTCATATTTCACCTATATATTTTGTCAAACTTTAGACACTTTATCTGAAAATGCATCTAAAATTGTGTTCTTTTTGGGATTCAGCTAGTATGCACTAGGCTGCTAGCTAGTCGTTCATAGACTTCCATCTAGGCCCCGCTAGGTTGTACATTAATTTCTGTGGACAATAAGAGTAATGCAATCCTAAATATAGGAAATTTAATATATCAGATCGAACTCCATGTAAGTAAACCAATCCCTTATACAGCTAGCTTGCAAATTCCAGGATCAACAGCCAAACAGACAATACTCACACAAGACACGACAGAGTATGAACAACAAGAGATAACTCCAACATTCACTATAAAAAACGGTATTTAAATAAAGGGAACTTTGGTGAGCAACAAACTATATAAAATCCGGGCGTCGACATATATAAAAATTAAACTCAAACTTGATCACCAAGTCAGGTTTATATATATCAGCATTGTTTCCACCAATGAGTAGGCAGCTAAACCATAGACTGCTTTTTGAGGGACATAAGCGTCCCTAAGATACTGACAAGTACACCAACTACAGAGAAGATAGCGAAGATTGTTCTCTTGTTCTTGTAAAAAAACGCATGCACCTTGATCTGCATCCGCCTCTTGACCTTGTACTTCTCGATCTCCATCATGATGCGGACATAGCAGTTGGATCTGCGTAGGGGCAGGCTCTGAAGTCTCGTGAAGAATGTCAGCGCGTCCTTGTTGATGAGCCCTGCTCCTCATTGCAGGAGATGCTTGGTCCGCAGCTCCTGCACGTCCTCCTCCCTATGCACCAGCAGGGAGAGGAGGAGATGGTACGAGCAGACGGCAGAGTCTTCAGGCTCAGCTTCCTGGAAATTGGAGGTCGTGCACAGCTCGAGAGCCGCCATGTTGATGAGGAAGCTGGCACGTTCGTCGTCCAGCGACAGCGGCGCCATGGAGAGCTCGGTGAAGATCCCTCTCTTGTTGACGCCCATATGAATGAGCTCCGTTGTTTCTTCATTGACTTTGAGCTTGATGCCGTTTTCAGCAAGTTCAATGGCACTAACAGAAAATGATATCTTGTTGGTTTTCACTTGAGTGGGTGGCTTGGTGTTGCCTTTTCCCACAATGTAGAACCAAAGGAGGCCAAGGAGATGCGGTGGCTCGAAGCTAGCATCCAACACAAGAGGCTTTTCGCTGCCGAGAACCTTGCGGTCCTGCAGGTACTGTTTCCAGAACGCGACGAAGGCTTCCAGGTCCACGGGCCGGAACGCACTACGCCAGATTTGCACATCGTTGCCGACATCATCACTGTCGGATTTGTAGGAACCGGCAGTGATGTACCTTCACTGCCGGTTATGAGCTTGAAAATGAAAAATTATTGGGGCTAGGCTAAAACCGGCAGTGAAGGACCACATCACTGCCGGTTTATGGCTTAAACTGACAGTGTTTTGGCGGCCTATCATCACTGCTAGTTTAAGCCAAGAGCCAATAGTGATTGGGCTCTATCACTGTTGGTTCTAGCCAAGAACCGACGGTGATAAGCCTACAACACAAAAAGGCTGCAGCTGTCCTCTCCTTCCTCCTCTCTTCCATCCCGAGAACAGAGGCGCGCGTTTGGACCCTTCCCTTCATTGTTGCGGCTGCTCTTCACCATGAAGCTAATGCTTGGATTTTGAAGAATGACTTGATCTTTTTGCTTTAAGGTTAGTAACAAGTATCCACTCCTTTGATTTTGTTGCTTAATTAACTTCGTTTTGATGGCTACATTGCTTGATTCTCATTCTAATTCTTTCTCCATTCTAGAGAGCACTTTTCTAATTGGACATTTGTGCAAGGCTCCAATTGTGGTGAATCCATCATACAAACGATTGGTGTCTATGAACACATTTAAATTCCTAGCTAATTATTCCATGGTGGTCAAGATCATCATTATTAGTATGTGATACTATAATTAGTTCTTAGAAGTAGACTAGAATAGATGTTCTTCATTATTGCGCAATAATTGTTTTTTACTACGATTTTCAATTTACAGGGCCGGGGCTACCAATTTTAATTTTCCAATAATTAGTGTACAATAATGTTTTTCAAAAATGGTACTTTCGAGCTACAATTGTTGTTCATGAAGCTCGATTTCTTATTAATTCTTTGTAATTACTATCTTAGTATTTTTTTGTGCAGAGATGGATCGAGAGTGGATGCATCTGTCCCGAACGGACAAGCGATACATGCATGGCGTCAGCCAGTTTATCATCGATGCCAAAGCCCATGCTGGGAATGGGAACCCTGTCTTCTTCCCATGCAAAGATTGCAAGAATCATAGGAACTTTCGTCAAATTGAGTCTATACGGTCGCACTTGATTACCAGGGGGTTCATGCCAAACTATACGATATGGACTATGCATGGTGAGGTTGGTGTGAATGTTCTGCAGGAAAACGATGATGATGTGGACATGCCTGATGTAGCCATCCACGATGCTAACGAGAAACCCGATGTCAATACGGAACCTATGGCCACAGTTAATAATATGTTTAGGAACACGCTAGCTGACGACACCGGGGATAACGATGGCATTTCTCAGCTGCTACGTAATGTAGAGACCGGATGTCTTAGTGAAAGATAGCTGAGAAAGCTAGAGCAAATGAGACAAGATGGCAAAACATCATTGTATAGGAATTGTCCAATGAGCAAACCAAAAGCCGACATCATGCTGTTAGAGTTCAAATCGACAATAGGATTGAGCAATAAAGGCTTCGATCAGTTGTTAGGTATAATAAGGAAAATGCTCCCAGAAAAAAACGAGTTGCCAGAAAAGACATACTTGGCCAAGCAAATGATCTGCCCCATCAGCCTCGATTGTTGAAAAAATCCACGCGTGTTCCAACGATTGCATATTGTACCGTGGGGAAAAATACAAAGACTTGGACAAGTGCCCCAAGTGTGAAGCTGAAGCGACCCGATTTCCGCGAAGGGAAATCCACAGAGTTGAAGTGTAATAAGACCGTTGTAGATCATATTACCCAAATTCCAGTCGAATATCACATCCATACAACGACAATATCAGAGTACAAATAGTGCAGAATTACATAAATTATTACATCGCCGCATTGACGGAATCAAAAGTAGCATTCATTCAGAACAGCTTGAAGATAAGATCGCCAAACTCGAGCGTAGGAACGAACCCCTCAACCGTCAAACTCCTCGGAGCTATACTCCTCAGCAGAACCTGTGTGATAAAATTTATCAGTACGATTTGTACTGTCCACTCCCACCCTATGAGCATTGCTTTGTGGAAATTGGATGCAAGTTGGATATAATCAAAAGGAACCTATAAGGCTGGCGTTTCCTATGTATTAGCTTATCAAGTACATAATAATAGTTGGTCAAGTTTTAACACCATTCCCATACCCATTCCACCCCATTCCCATTCTAGAGCTAGGTTTCGATCCCGGGATCGATATACCACCATCTCCACACCATCACCATACCACAACCATACCATCGCTCAGTCGATAGGCCAACTCCCTCTCGGCACTGTCTCAAGGCCCGTAGCCCCTGGCTACGTCCGAACACTCACTCACAGGGGGAGAAGAGAAGGACTCATCTCTCTATCTAGTTTAAGCGAAACCCAGGAAAGGTCCATAGCCGACAAGTCGGCATATGTATCGATCGATCAACCATACACTCTGCAGAGGTTTTACATAACCACAAGATCCGCCTTCCTCGCTGACCGTCGTCAACTGGGCTGATTCTGGCTGCTTGCTAGCCTAGGATAATGCCACTTTACCATTCAGCCCTATTACAACCCAAGTCTAGTCTGGGGTGGCTGAAACTGTGAGTCATGAGACGGGTCCACAAGGTCTCCATGAAGTCTCGGAAGGGTGGGGGGAATTCCTCCGCACCTCGTACCTCCCTCGCACTGTCCGCTATCAACCTAGCAGTAGTGGCAATATCCTACCAAGTAGTCCGGCCGTCCTGCACCATATAGGGCGAGTGGTACGTAAGGCTTCCCAGTGAATCTGAGTACTAGTAAGTCCTTAAGGATGACCAAGCCAGAATGTCTTCATCAGGGTTTCCATTTACCGTGCCACCACAGCACCTCCACCCTAGGCTCCTCCCATCAAGGTTCACACCCAGGGCCACCTCATATACCATTTACCCACCACAGGTATCCATTCCAGGGGTGCTTAGGTAGCACCCCACGGCAAGACTTGCCCCAGGCTCGTCGTATACTCCAACTTGGTCGACACAACCCTCACCCTCCAAGCACCCAAGTCACACACGCAGCACTCTCCCCATAGTCCAGATAACACCAGTTTCCACCATGCATCAAATGTAGTGCAAGCGTAGTAGAAGTAATAATCAATGAAATATAGCAGCAAGCGTGTGACTAGCCTAACAGCAGGGTGAGCAGGGGCAAGGTTGCGTCAAGGTAAAGGCCATCAAGAAAGCATACTACCATGCAAGTCCTATCATAGTGTGAATATAACAATAAAGTAAAGCACTAGCAGTTCTATATTAGCCATGTGTAATTGGTGCTACGAGGTTTGGGTGGGATGTGGCGTCTTCGGTGTAGTCGTCTTCGTACTCCTCATGGTACTCTCGGTCCTCGTCCGTCTGGTTCTCCTCCGAGTCTGCAAACGATCGCATTATAGTCGCGTTAGCGACGTCTATAGAATAGCACAAAGAAGCAATGGAAATTCAAAAGATCCAAATGCACTCAAACATGGGTTCATTGCGTAGAGCTTGATTTTAGATGAATTTTGGTCCTGGTTTCGTATTTTTCTTAGGTCATATGAATTAGTTATGAATTTCCGAAGTTTAAATCATTTCTAAAAATGGAAAAAGGCTGAATTAATCCTGGGCTGACACGTGTCACGCTGTGACTGGTCCACATGGCATGCTGACGTCGGCATGACGTCAGCATGACGTCATTGGCTCCGCTCTGAACTAACAAGTGGGGTCCTGCTGACGTCAGTATGACGTCATCAACGTCATCAGTTTCGACAGGTGGGTCCAGGGGCTCTTGGGTCACTGACATGTGGGTCCGGCCAAAGTCAATCGTCAAGTCAACGGTGAGTCAACGGTCAGCGGTGAGGTCAGCGGCATCGACGGGGCCCACGGCTACTAACGTCGAAGGCGATGTCATCGTGGCGTCAACATGAGCGTCACCCCGACCGTGTTGGCCGGCGTGTGGGTCCCCGCAGCGTCGACGCCGCATGCGTCACCATCCGACATGTGGGTCGAGTGTACGTGCCACTAACATGTGGGGCCAGGTCAGCGATCCAACGTTGACCGATCAACGGTCAACCGATTTGGGTCTCGACCGGGCTTTGGTGGGCTCGACGGGGCTGAATTTGGGGTGACTTTCGGCCCACCGCGCATGGCATCTTTGTGGGCGCAGCCCACGCCACGACCTTGGGCCTCCATCAGGCTATGGTCTCACGACTCGTGGTCCACGGTGGAATCGAGAGCACCGGTCCATGGACCGTAGGCGGTCTCACGGTGGACCGCGTCCACACTCCTCTTCACTCTCTATGGTCCATGTGCACCGGGTGCATGTGCGTGTGGCCGGTGAGGGGAGCCCTCTGTTTCCATCCCTGGCATGCTCCCGCTGGTGGTGCGCTCACCGGCGTGATCCTACGACGGTGCTGGCGTTCAATTAAGGTGGGGAAAAGCTCCCCCAGGCCATGGCGAACACGATGATGGGGTCTAGGTGGCGGCTGGGGCTTTCCAGGGCATTGGCCACGGCGGTCGGCTGCTCGAGCACGACGACGTACGGGGATGGCGCGGTGGCAGCGGCAAAAGCCGGACATGTGGTGCGCGTGAGCATTATGGTGCTCCAGCGGGCTCGTCGGGCAGGTCGAGGGGACTTCTAGAGCCCCCGGTGGCTTTGGCCACGGTGGCGGCTTGATTCGGCCATGGCGGCGGTCCAGTGGTGAACGGCGTAGGCTC